ATGCTATTCTTTGCAGCAGCCATAAGAAGCAAAAGTCTGGGGATGAAATCAAATGTGTCAGTGACTGCCATTCCCAACACAAACTTCCACATTTCTCTGTTCCGCTCTCCTCCACATCTACCAGTGTCGAGGCTCAGGGGATCTTAAGGCTGTTTCCTTTTAAATGTATTTATGAACTTGTAGAAGCAAAGAAAACACTGCATATCCTCACTACTACCCTCAAGCTTTTCACAAATGAGCCAAAGAAAGTGATTTGAATTATTTATGCATTTCAAAAAGGCCTCCTCCAGCATAACTAAAAAGAAACTTGCTAAATAACCAACAGACCCCAACAGCCCTGGACAACCCAAAATACAACGGGCCACCACAGAGGTAAAACTCAGTATAACTTCTGCATCTGCCTATGCCATGTGTTCACACTTGGTAAGATGCTTGCCTTCCCAATTATTCAAGAATCTTATTTGGTGTGGCAACTATTGGTATATATATATATATATTTAAAATGGCAACAGCCCCAGGAGGGCAGCAGGAAGGACTGATTCTAGTGGGACACATCGTGTATTTCTGGGCTTGGCAAAAACACTGCACTGAAGACATAGGTAAAAAGACTTCTCAACTGTTAGGAATATTGTCTCTGGTTGCATCAGCTGCAGCATTAATTGGTTCAAGGGAAACGCTCGTACCGTCATACCCAGCTTCTAAGTGAAAGAAACTGAAAGGACTGTGATGCTGGGAAGAGGAAGTAAAGGGATAAAAATGGAAATGGCTGGGGGACCCTTAGTGCTCCAAAGGCTTTCCAGGGAGAAGGCTCCATATAATATGCACATCAGCATCAAGGAGGCACGTTTCAGCAAATATCATCCTTTAAGAGGGAGAATTTGTCCCTAATACTAGACAAGTGTCTGACCCTGTGGTGTAAACCTTCATAATTACAAACATGCTTAAGCAATAACTCTAATGAAGCAGGAAGCAAAAGTATCTGTGACTGTGTGCAATGCAACAGAGAGCTGGCACTTGGTGAAGAGATTATAGCAGAGGGTTGCCAAGGTAACCAGAGGATGCAGATCCAGCATCTTTGGCTTTGCTTAATCTGATAGCGAGTTCAGCTGGGGACAAGATATGTTGGTGTGTTCCTCCAGCTCAAGGGAATGTGCTTGTACTTGACTCCTCTCCAAAGCCAGATCTCCCAACTCCAGCCATTATTATATCCTCCTACAACATCCTTCATCCTCACCCTCTCTCTCCCCCATGAGAAGCTGTGCACACGGAAATACAAAATAAGGTTTTTAAATTAACATTTCCCTAC